TTTAAGAGGTGTGTTTTAAGTTTATTTTCAAAAGTAGTAATGTTTTTAGTCTCTAATTTGTGATGGTAGCACAAAATAGGTGGTATATGTAACATGTGATATTTTAATGATTGTAGGTCAATACCTTACTGTGTTGATGGACTTAGAGGGACAGGAATTATCAAAATTGCTGCTGGAACATTTCATTCATTAGCTCTGACTGTATATTGTCAGGTAAGGTATTGTATGGTAGATTTACTRTAGCCTCATTTCAGCAGCATCTGGAATATTCACAAATACAGTAAAGTAAAGAATGCAGAAATTTTGAACAATGCAATTTGAAACTCCATGAACCTTTACTGGAACACATGAATATTCAATAGACAACCTGCACCAACAGGTCACGTGACCCTACCTCCCTTAAAAGGAGCAGTTCTGTCAAAATAAAAAACAGAAATGAAAAGAGCATATCGGCATTAGAAGGGAGGCAGAGTTTCAGCTCATAATAAGCGAAACAGGACAAATGGCATTAGATATGAATTTGAATGTTTTGCAAGGATTTGTATGGAAAAATGCGCTGGATGGCAAAAGCTTACCAGCCAACACTTTTCCCATACAAATCCTTGTCAAATATTTGATTTTATATTTAATGTCATTTCTTCTATAGTCAACATTTCAAGCTAAAACTTTGCCCTCTTACTAAATTTGAGTCTCTCTTTTCATTTCTGAAGTTTGTTTTGACTTATTTACTCGTTTTAAGGGCAATGGGGTCACGTGATCTGTTAGTGCAAGTCGTGTATCATTGTTAACTCTGAGTAACTGTTAACTGGCCAGAGTATTTGTCTAAAGCACTAAAGGATCATGGTTATTGATTGGTGCTCCATTGAGTTTTGGGTGCATGCAGTAAGTAACTGTTAACTGGCCAGAGTATTTGTCTAAAGCACTAAAGGATCATGGTCATTGATTGGTGCTCCATTGAGTTTTGGGTGCATGCAGTGAGTAACTGTGAACTGGCCAAAGTATTTGTCTAAAGCACTAAAGGATCATGGTCATTGATTGGTGCTCCATTGAGTTTTGGGTGCACATTGGAGGTTGCTAAGTACTAAGGAAGTGTAAGAGTCGCTTGAGACATAGCTGAGTGCTACTCTAACTTCTTGAGTGCTTAAGCAACCACACCCTGTAGTAATACGACATGCACTTGCTTATGGCTAAATACACCGCATTGAAATATGGAGACCAATTTGAATAACTATTGTTCTGGATTGACTAGCCTCTCTTACATGGGAAAACGATTTTACACCCCATCCCACCGTACTGTACACGGACATGAACCCCCCCCCCCCCCTTTACTGTTCATGAACATGAAGCTATTCAGTCTACACAAAGAAGAATGGTTACAGTATTTGAATTGGTCACTATATTTGGGTTCACTTTTCCATTTCTTACTACTAGGTGTTTTCATGGGGAGATAACTCCTGTGGTCAGCTTGGCCATAAGAAGACCATGACTGTCAAGCCAAGGAAAGTTAAGGTAAAACATGACTGTTGCCATCTCTCACACCTGGTTACAGGTATCTCAGACTCCCACACTCTTRAACACGAGCTCATTTCTCTTTAAATTAGATTATTCTGTTGTCTAAAGTGAGCTCTGTTTTTTTCTTCTTAAAAACTTATTATCCTGTGCTCTCCCCAACTAAAAAATCTTCAAAGTATTCCTTAGTTAACATAATTTTCAAAGTTTTGTATAATTATGTTTCATACAGTAGCATGCATAATAGCCTCGCCCCTTATTTTGAATCTGATCATGCCATACTTTTGACAGTCCTTGYGCATCTCAAAAATACTTTATTGTTTCATTCTTTGTTTGTGTTTGTATTTATGTTTTACTAAATCAAGTTTCCAGTAATTGATACTAGAGTGCACGCACTAAACCCGTGAAACAAATACTAACTTTTAGTACTAAATGGTGATAAGTAAACAATAGAAACAAAGGATTCTGTATGAAATAGTACTAATTAGTACTAATTAATGTTCATGGATTTAATGCGTGCACTCTAACAGGTATTTCAGTACATTAGTTACTGTAGTGCATATGATTGCTTGAGCCTCCGGCCCACTATTTCAACCTTGATTTGTACCTTGACAGTTTAAGATGGATTTCATTCATTAATGCATAGAAAGGATTTTGACAAAAATCTTTRTATTACTTTTATTTTATTTTTATTTTTTTGCTTTCTATGTTTTAGTGTTTTTCTGATGTTCTTATTTGGGATATTGCTTGTGGAAGTCATTACTCTTTATTCATTGGTGACATGGCTTTAAACAGACCTGATGTTTATGTCTGTGGAAGGCAACCAAGGTAATCAATTACTCCTGGGAAGGGAAGGTATTGGGGGATTTGCAGTTAATGTTTTAAAAATAAATGCAGCCCTCCCCCTTTTACTCAGTAAGAAAGTCATGACCCTCCTATTAAGTCAACAAGAAAGGACTGTAGCCAGACCCAAGGCAATTGTTTACTGAGGCAAATGAGAGGTTGGGAGCAACTAGGGGGGTTTGTGGGAATGCATCGCCTGGAAAATTTTGAAAATGAATTAAATTATCCCAGTCTCTCTAGTCTAGGTGCCAGCATTTGACTAAGTTTGCATACCAGTTTAGGATGTTTTAAAGTTGCATTCCATGGAATATCACACTTTAGGCACTGTGTTTTCAAGTACACACTTGAGCTTTCAGTAAAGTGTGTTTACTAAGAAAACACAAGAGTTAGGTATTCAATGTTGTTTTGTGAGAAAGCAATGTATAACTTAGTATTTAATCCCACTGCATTGAAAATAAATCTAGTATGCATTGGCTGATGGGAATGGACAGTGAATGACCACTGAATATACTTGAAGAGATTTCCAATCCTCTGATTGGCTGTAATTTCAATGGTGTGGGATAAAAATTAGTAATAATCTAAGAATATCAATTTGTAATGTGGGAAGCACGGGTGGCAAAAATCAACTACTAAATTATAATGGCAATCTTTGGGCTTTCACGTAGTTGGAGCCTAGCCCTGTTGTGATTCTCCCATGCTGAAATACAACAGTAAAAGCTTAATAAATATGTATACTAGAAAGTATGATTAACTTCTTCGATATTCCATGCTATGCGACTTGAAACCGTCATATATAAATAATATCTATTGATAATCATATAATAATAATAATATAAACACTTTGCATCTTTACAATGCTAAACAAAAGAAATAATACTAAAGAGAATAAAAGGTGGTATGAAATGGAAAATTTGTAGTTTTGATATTATACAGTATTACATGGCCACTTGGAGAAACGAATATTACCTTGTTCAAGTGTTGAGATGGTCACATCTTAGTGAATGAGTTTACATGTTGCTATTATATATCGAGCTAATATTTGTGTTCTTAAATGCAGTGAAATGCCAGTTATTGCAGCAGCACTCAACAAGATGCAAGGGGCAACAGGTTTTCCCTTATCAAAGGACGATACTGCCCTCAAAACTGCAGCCAAATCCAAACCTCCCCTGACACATTCCAGGTCCTTTGATGATGCAAAAGAGAGATCATTTGGAGCCGTACGAGTAGAGTTGGTCAGATTGATAATGTTCAGGAAAGTGGGTAGTGTGAGGTGTGTCCTGGCTCAGAATGAACATTGCTGTTGTATTGCCGATGGGTGAGTACATGCATGTTGGACACTCTTTAGTTACTAGAAGTGGAAATAATATATTTATTGGACGAGGTCGAGCATGATAAATAATTATTAAGAATAAGGTGGGAAGGCAAAATATTTACAGGGAAACTAGATGCAATAAATAAATAGACTGTGTTTTACGAGGGAAGCACTTAATAGATGAATACAGGGTAAGTATATCAGTGATATAGGAATCAAACACACAAACACATTTATTTTATAACTAGGATGGTATGGGCTCGATGATTGGTCAAAAACTGTGCTTTATTAGTAAATGGAGCACAGTGCTGACGCCATCAGCCCACTCAAAGTGCTGCTAGATCCAGCAACTGTCTTTCTCTTTGCGTAATAAATTCAATACTGTAGTGAAGGAGCCTATGGAGATTTTGAGTAGCACTAGTTTACTATATTTACATTCATTAATAGCATTTCATGTTTTCAGTGATGCTACTGGTGTGTTGCATGTGTTAGGGGAGCTTTCTGGTGAGGAAAGACTGTTTTATTACCAGTTGGCTTTGATATGGCAAGCGGTATTTGTTCCTGTTATCCAGTCAGGTAATGCCCCAATTATTTAACAATTATTGAGTGATTATCGGTGAATATTTATTGAGCCACTAGTCTTCAAGCAGAGAGACTGAGGCTTAGGGGAATAATTGTTTCAATGGGAATAGATATAAACACTTTTTAAAAGCATCTCGTTAATAGCAATCGTGAAACTTCAGTTGACAAGCAAAAAAATTCTTCAAAACTAGTGAAAAATAATTGCAAATATAACCAAGTAGTAGATAAATATAAAAAATACTTATCTTTCCTGAGAAGGTTTGCAAAAGGTCAAGTGAAATACAGGGAAAYGATGAAARTGTTAGGCGTTATAGGCACTTGAATTTATAATACTCATATAAATCTACATCTCCTACATTTCTCTGATAATGGTTTTTTTGATGTGCAGAATTTTGGTCGCTGATGGTTCCTCAAGAGAGTGGGACAGTCTTGGTTCCAGTTGTGCAGGGATACCTGCATCTAATGAAATGTGTGTCATCTAGCATGGTATCTCTCACTCAAGTCATCCAGGATGTTGAGTCAATGGATAAACTATTTGATACTTGTCTGTCAGAAGAATTTATTACAGCATTTGAGAGGTTTGTTTAGTATTTATTCTTGGATGAATGGGTGAGGGTAAGGGTTGTTGGTAGGTTGTCAGTAGGGTGTTGGTAGGTTGTCAGTAGGGTGTTGGTAGGTTGTCAGTAGGGTGTTGGTAGGTTGTCAGTAAGGTGTTGGTAGGTTGTCAGTAGGGTGTTGGTAGGTTGTCAGTAGGGTGTTGGTGGATTTTCAGTAGGGTGTTGGTGGGTTGTCAGTAGGGTGTTGGTAGGTTGTCACTAGGATGTTGGTTGGTTGGCAGTAGGGTGTTGGTAAGTGGTTAGTAAGGTGTTGGKGGGTTGTCAGTAGGGTTTTGGTGGGTTCTCAGTAGGGCATAGTAGGGTGGTCAGTAGTGTGTTGGTGGGTTGTCAGTAGGGTTTTATTAGGTTGTTAGTACGTTATTGGTAAGTTTTCAGCAGGTTGTCAATATGGTGTTGGTAGGCTGTCAGTAGAGTGTTGGTGGTTTGTGCGTAGGATGTTGCTAGGCCGTAAGTAGGTTGTTGATAGGTTGTTAAAGTTCGAAATGACACATTTTGCCAGTCCTTTTATTCAATATTTTATTTCATTGCTTGTTCATCAGATATTCAGAGTTATACAACAATGCAGTAGCATATGGAGTGTTCATGTTATTCACCAGTCTTGCAGGAGATGTTGGCCCACAGTGTAAAGCAGTTCTACGAGACCTGTTAGAAGATGCTGATAAAGTATGATTAAATTCGCAAGTTAAATTACCTTACATTGTYCTATCATTTTATTGTTTTTTCTGCTCTGCTCTCCTCGGTTTTGTTCTATTTTGCTTTGTTTTGCAGTGTGTTGCTCTAAATAATGTTTAGGATGGATGTAAACCTAACCTATTTTATATCTCACACACAGGACTTCATTGGCTTCATCGATGCATTCCAGTGGGTTGCTCGTGTACCACTTATCAGGATGCAACACTATGTTGCTCTTACTAGTAAACTGCTCACTCTTTTAACACAGGTAAGGAACA